GTCTCGGTCTCGGCTTGTCTCGGTCTCGGCTTGTCTCGGTCTCGGTCTCGGTGTGACTTGGTCTCGATATCATTGAGTTTCGTTAAATGACATAGTGACATGAGTTTTCTTTGCATGGATGAATATTTTTTATGCAGATTTGGGTGTGGGTGTGGGGTGTGGATGTGGGGTGTGCATGTGGGTAGGTGTGGGGACGGGTATGCATGTGGTGCGGATATTTTCTTCTCGTACACTCACACCCGCACCCACACCCACACCCACACCCACACCCACACACACCCACACCCACACCCACACCCACACCCACACCCACCCACACCCAACTACACACTATTTAGCCTTTTAAAGTAGAAGCAGTGAACACAAACGAGGCTGGTGATATGCTTGCTAGCGCCTTTTTATTTTGTATTACACAAGGAAAAGATTTTCCAACAACAGAAAAATTAGCACGTCTTGCTGCAGTCACAGTTGTCTCCGTTTCTGGATGTCGGTTGACTACGATAAAACAACAAGAAATTTTAGCTCAATGGAATAATAGCGAATGTCCATGAGTTTGATCCTAATCTGTGGAAAACTTTTGTAATAATACTCTTCAGAAACACAATCATGGACTAAAATTATTAGCAGTTACTACAATAAATGACAACATATAAACATACCTTTTTGGTGGTAAGATCAGTTTTCCAGCTGGTTTAAAAAGATATTGTTCCTATTGAATAAAAATTATATTTATTTTACTTTTAAGTAAAATGAATTCGTTGGACAGTGAGCCACCATTGAAACAACTTAAGTAAAATCGTTCATTTTACATCACAAATAAGATGAATTATTTGGTTCAGGTAAATAACTATCCAGTACAAAATCTTCCATAAATTGCGGAATATTCTCAAGAAAATTTCAAGCGAAAGCAACATAATCTTCAGTTTATGGACGAGTCTGATCGGCAGTTATTTTTCAATACAAAAGTATGAGTCATGTTAGATTTTCATTTTATTATTTAGAAAATATCGCATTCTCTGGAAGATGTCTAATGAAGAACACGAAAATATGATTCAATCGTAATTTCGCAGAATCAATAATGACTCAAACATTTATCAATATTTGTTTTCGGATTCATTTAATGATTTCCTTTATATGATTTTTATTTTTACATTGAAATTCAAATATTGTGAGATTGAGTATTGCGAAAGCTAATAGAAAAGCTACATCATTACATGTATGACAAAATAAAGATTCTATTTATTAATAAATGAGTCAATAGTTTCATGTCCATTACTATAGTGATTATTAAATGTCGATCATGAGAAAGTTTTATTCTAATAAATTGCATGAGATGTGTAAATTAAAATATTATACAACCGAAAGACCAGGCTGCCAATCACAATTGTTTGTTTCGAGCAATGGAGCCGAAGCTTCTTCGAAGTTTAATTCAAATTGACCTTCTCCACGATATTTATTTGTTTGAGTATACCATTTCCCTCTGAACCGATTATGCTGTGAATCCCAAGTCAATTGTATAGTTACCGTATGACCAAGATTCTCTATAGGATCTCCTGTTCCTGCTTTATACACCTTCGTTAGACCCATGCGAAGAGTTCTCATACAAAAGATACCATCGATAGTATAACTACCGATGTCATCTCTTCCTTGACCACTTACTTTATATGAATATCGATTGAACGAGAGCAATAATTGATGAGACGTATGCCATTTATCATATTGATAGTATCGACTAGACCAGACACCATCTACGAAAGGATTATCGCCGAAATTAAGATTGTTTCGAGAATTTTGATTGATAAATTCTGTGTTTTCTTCTGGTGGTCTACCACCTGTACATTGAACAATCCATTTTTTAATTGACCATATAATGATCCCCACAGCGATTAATACAGAAGCGACTTTCAAAGCGATGATTGCCATTTCACATTCAAAAGTAGAACATGGTTTGTTATTGCTTTTATAACCTGAATTTGACAATAATTAATATAAATTTTAAAATAAAGCGCATACTTCCGCTGCTACTACCACCACCTCTACTTCCACTACCACCACCACCGCCTTGAGACTGAACGCCAATGGTTAGCAGAGTATAGATCAGAATAAAATGAATTGTAATGCGCATTGCTTAGTCTTCAACTATAAATAGTTTGTTTTAGAATAAAGTATGTTAGATGATCGTAGATAAAAGGGAATTCAAATAAGACGAGATAACTTTACGATTGAAATTTGATCGTAGAATACGGAGTTCTTATATTTGAATAAAAGACGATGGAAAAAGTATTTATAAATAATAGATTTCATTCTGGCTACGCGAAGTACTTTGTTTTCGTTTTCTTAGAATGGCAATATCAACCATGATATTAGTGAATTCTAGTCGACCTCTAAAGGATCCCAGTATGTTTTCGACTTTTGTTTTTTAATTAACTATATGATTTTCGGCTAAAATGTTTCAAATAATCGAAGAATGTAAATCATAGGTAACAGTGGAAGATAAAGCTTCAAGGTAAAAGAAATCAGTCAAAACCTATTTTACTATAGGCAGTTGTAAGTAACATATACTATTACTCTAATGAAATACTCTTGTAAATTACATGCCCGTAAGATATATTCCTTTGTTCATACTTCTGTCTTTGATTATGGAAAAAGAAACTTTGACATAGACAAATATAGAATTTATCAACATCTAATTTAGAAAAGTGTTAATGAAACAGGAAGATATATGAAAGTTAGTTGAAATAATAATAGAAGTTACACTCAACAAATATTGTCACAGATTGTGAAATCTACGAAGAAGTGAAACATTTAGTTCATGGTTTTTCAATGCGATTCGTCACGAGTTTCAGCGTATATGAATCAATATAAAATGAATATTTTGAACTAAAAATGATGTTAGTCACTTGAGCCCATTTAGAAAATATTTGAATTCTCGCGTGGAACTTTTCTTAACTTTCACAGAACAAGCGTTTCAAAATAAAGTTAGTCAGAGAATGTACAAACTTCAACGTTCAAAAATCTAAAATAGCATGTAGACATGCATATTTCATCACTCTTGTGAGAGATCTGACTTTCTAGCTTTATAGTTCAAGACGATCTAGACAATCATTTGACTTTTCTATGCGAAAGAAATGCAGTGTTTTTTAGTAAGGGTAGTATTTTTCTTATGACATCAAACTTTTCTTGATCCTGATCATCATCAAAATGTTTTAATCCATAATTGTAGATGGATCGGAATCTATTTCATCAACTGTAGTGCCTCTACTATACTATTTATGCAACTCATGACCGTACTCGATATCTTGAATTTTACGGATTTTATGATAAATCAAAACAAGTATCATTATTTCGTCGTTTCATATAAACTAGTCTCTAGACGGTAAAATATAACATTAGATCTTCGACACTCTTTAATAAATGTAACTCACAAAACAAAAGTATAAATGTAATGTGATTAATGATGAGCTGAAATTAACATATATAAAGGTATATGCATGTAAATATTACCTTATGTGGAAGTGACACTTGGTTTTCTATGATACTTGTTGAAAGAATATACAAAAACACAAGATATGAACATGCATCTCGATTTACTCAAATTAGATGTATATGCAAACAGAAAGAAAAATGTTTTTTTTTGCGTTCTGTTCGATACTTCTGTGAAGAACAAATTCTAGACAAAAATAACGTCGGCCATGTTTAGCGATAAGACAGAAACAGAACGCAGAAAAATGACGATACAAGAAAACTATAATGGTATTACTCAAAGATTGATGACAAGAATCTATGGCAAGACCAATGAATTTCAATATTCTGTAGATGTCATGCAATAATATTAACGAACTGCTGCGTTACTGCTAAAATATAGTGTTAGAATCGTTGTACTTACCTAATTTTTACACACGACTCTATAAATATTGGATGGAGAGGAACTCTCTCTCTTTGGATTTATTCTATTAATAGGTATTCAAGAATCGAAAAAGACTATGCTATAAAATTAATAAGATTTCTTTTAACTATTATTACTGTACACTATGATGGATGAAAGAACAAATAATGATTTCATAAACTCAAACTTTCTATGCGCTTGCCAGAAATTTGCAAGACAAATAACCAACAATAGATGTAAAAACATTGCCGGCATATATTCCATAAATAATATTTATTTCATCTTGAATAACCAATTCTATTGACAAAAATGAAAGTAGCATTAATTCACAACTATAAGATTTTTTATTTTTTTACAAATTATTTTTCTATCACTCAAACATGAAAAGAAGACAGATTATTTTACCTACTATGGAGCGTGAAAAATGATCTGATGTGTATGTCGTCGTGATAGATAAAAACATATGAAGAAATTAAAGGTGTGGATGCCCGAATAGTTTTATGTGGCTACAACAATATCCGACAATCCCACCCATATCCTTCGTATAATTCTGCATTCAGAATGCTACATATAAAGAAAATTTGAAGATAATTCCCAAATGACTTATACACGCTTGTATTCTTTGAAAGAGAGCAACCAACAGTGGTTATCTTGTTTCAATACTGATGTTCTTACTTTTGAGTTACCTTTTTTTTGTTTCTTTTGTTCGAGAGTTCTATTAGAAGTAAACAATCCTCTTAGCTTTATTTCTTAGATAATACTATAAAAAGCAAAACCCATTGTTATTCGAACACTTTTCTTTTTTCGACGTCAATTGCAGCACAATAACCAAAATATACAAATGTTGTTCCCGATTGTTTGATACAATATTCTAAGAACCAAATTATTGAAATGAAATATGGCTATGAAGATAGTCCGATCCTTACATGTTCAGACCAGTGATAATAAGCTCCCATCCATAGGTGCCCACCGGTAAAAGTCCATCATCTCTCTTGTAAAACTCTTGCTACTTGTTATCTCCTACTTCAGTCAGTTAGATGGATGCGTCAATGAAGTAATCTATTATATTTCTATGAAGAGATACTGTTACTTAATATTACTAAGCTGTTTATTTAACTATTCATTAAGATTCATCAAAACATGGCTACACGAAATTCAGCAAACCTGTCGTCGAAGAAAAAGATAGCTGAATATGATGTACTTATCATCTGATCTTATATTCTTTCTTGACTATGCGAATGAGTTTCAAACATGTCAGATATTGAAATGAGAGCTTCGTATTGATGACTCAAAATTCGTAAAATTACAGTTGCTTTTTGCTATTCTTGTATGTTATTTCGATAAAAACAAATCAGTAGGACTTAACTATCCTAATATCGTTCGTTATTCTTCCATTTCTTTTCATCACATAGCACAGTAAGCAATTTCTCTCATATAAAGAAATGTTACTGAATAGAACTGTCGTTACGATGATTCCTTTTTAACACATTAATCTACTATAGGTATTATATTCATTTGAATGATTAAAAATGTTGGTTGCCTATAGGAATATTAGTTGAATAAACTCTTAATTTGAAATATTCTCACCTATACATTATTCTCTATGATAGTAACGATTGTAACCTTGTTTCTGTGAGATGGTGTGGGTGTTGAGATATGGATGTCTTTCCTTGAAACGGACCTCCACCCACCCGACACTTATACCAATTCAAAGACCCATACCAATATCCACACATCCGCCTAGCCAAACCCGTAGCTTCTCAAAAGAGATATTATTTAAATAAACATTCAGCTATTTAAGTTGCCTATAGCTACTGAACTGCTTGTATAGCTATTAAGGTTTCCATAATCGATCAGTACTGATGCAAAATTTTGATTTTGAGAACTTTCTGGATCATAATTAGTCATTGAAATTCATGTAACACTAGCTCCTGGTCGATGAACGATATTAATATTTTTACAGAATGGTAGGGTGGATAACCGTGGACATAGGTGTGGCGCGTAACTGTAACATTGATTAACCGTTTACGAACTCAAACTCGCATTCATTCGACACCCAAGCCGTTTTCACCCTTCATTTCTCCCCCATCCGTGCTCGAAAAGATGCGTACCGTTGAAAAAATCGTTCATTCTCAGTTAAACCGTAATATCACTATATAGACGTTTACTGCTAATCACCAAATAGTGTTTCGAATTAAAAAGCTATTCTTGTTGATGTTTACGAGTATGTAATATTAAATAGGCACCATAGAAATATTTCAATGGTAATAGAAGGTTTAAATAAATATGAAGCGCAAAAATACTCACGCAACTGATTGAGTAGCTATGTAAGATTTAAAAACTTATGCCACTACTTCAATAACTATTTAAATGCTTAAAAAGCTATAGAAAACTTAAATAGCTATGCAAGTGTTTAAATAGCTATAGATACTTTACATAGCAGCAACTTTTCAAAGTCATTTGTATTAAACAAAAATTGTATCTCATTTGAGAGTGAACCCCTCAGACCCACTCACATATACACATCTACACCCTACATCCCAAGTCGATTGTTTTTGAACATTCAAAAATCTTTATTATTTCAATTTGTATGAGTTTTCTGGTGATAAGCCACAGATATTACATAGAATAATGTATATTCAGGTGATAATATGATTTTCAAAAAGTCTGAGAATTTGAAATGAAAAAAACTATTATGCCTACTAACTTGTAGGGTTTGGGTCTGACCATTGGTCTTTTCTTTGTTGATACCATCCTCCTACACATGTCTCATGGAGACCAACAACCACACTCACCTTTTTTAATTCTACTTTACAATCAAATATTATTCGATTATTTTTTTGGATTAAGAAAATTCAGTCAGGATAGTCGACAGAGTAAAGAATATATTTTAACGTAAATGTCCAAACTTTTCTTTTTTATTAGCGATTCCCAATAAGACAAAGCTGATAAATAAAAAATCTGAGAAATCACAATCAAAACATGTTCTAAATCGAAAGAAGATGAACCATATTAATAGTTAATCGATTCGGTTCATATTTTCGTCTTCTGACGATTTACCAATATTCTCTTTTAACCATACTTGAAGAGATCGATGATCAGACGTTACTGAGAACTTTTTTTCTTTTTCACGAAGCCACGTAATCATTTTTATCCATGTTGTTGATGAACTCCAATTGCATATAAATGTAATCTTCGCTAAATGTTCAACACGTTCAAGGATCAATTTCATGGCGTCAGTATCTAATGAATGTATTATGAGATGTTCAATTTGACTAGATATGGCAGCACATTCTTTATCTATATTTCCTCGTAAACTACCGTTGTTCTTTATTCCAAAAGTATGAACATTGGGTGCTTTTTCGAGTATAGTATTGATTTTACTTGCTTGCAATGTTTGTTTACATGATAATAAAAACCAAACTTCCTTTAGTTGTGAAAAACTAATTAATTTTGAAAGAAGTTCGAATGAACCAGATCGTTGCCAATCTTCATACCAATCGATATCAAGTCCAAGTCGAATTATATTATCAAATAAATAATGCTTTGGAATTTTGAACTAAAAAGAAAAATCGAAATAAATAAATAATTTTATTTGTATAAATATCTTGTAAGAATTTCACTTATTATTATTAATAATAGTAAACAGTCATACTTACATGACGAAAACTAATAGCTTGCTTCACATCAGTTAAATTGAAGAGAGCATTCCACATATTTTGTATGTTTGGTTTATCATCATTTTTTGTAGTAGAAGTGAAATACGATATAAAACCTTTCTGGAAATTTTGACCAAAATCAACATGTCCATCGATAGAAGAATAAAGAATAAGTCGAGATCCTTCATCATTAATGACATATTGAAATATAACATACCAACGTTTATGTTCAAGCCAGAATGATGTTCGAAATGCAGCAATAATTGATTGAATACCTCTTAAATCTTGATAATAAGACATTTGAGTAGAAATTTTAAAATGAAAATTTTTAAGTTGAGGTAATTTCTCACGAATAAAATATTCCCATTGTGAAAAACATCGTAGACTTTGAAATGAAGAAATATTTTTTGCTGTTAAATTGAAATAAACAAGTGATGGATGAGATGTAAGAAGAATTTCAAGTTGATCAATCGAAAATAATATATCATTTAATGTCAAAGATATTAATTGTTGATATATGATAATTGAAGGAATAGTTTTGTTAATATTACTCATATCAATATCTTCTGTCGAGATGATTCGAAGATTTGGTGAATGATAAAAAATATGACACCATTGTTTATAGGAACATTTTTTTAATTTCAGTTCTCGAAATTTCCCATCATTTGGCCATGAAATTTGATCGAGAATTCGAGAACTAATATCCAAATCGAGTTTGCGAAGACTTGGTAATGCAATAACCATTGAAAGAAGAATGATTGTATCATTTTTAAGAATTCTTCTATCGAAGATTTTTAATGATCGGAATGTAGAGAGAGTTGTTAAATGACGTATTATCATGCGAAAACCATTCTCATCCATACTTTCAAGATAAACATAACAAAGTCTAGTAAATTGATAAATATTAACAAATGAAAAAAACCACTCAATATTATTCGATTTAGTATTTCCATAGATCTTTCGAAGAATCAATGATGTTACATTTTCTGGTGAAATCATTCGATACAAACGATAAGCAGGCGTTTCATTTTGATGATCCGAAATTTCAATTGTTAATCGATTGTAAATTTTTGTAATAGAATAAAATCTTGTACAAACATAACGAAATGAAAATAGTATATCTTGAATATTGAGTTGATCCAAAATACGATGAAGAATTTCAGTAGGAAACGTTAGAAGAGATGAACTTGATTGAACAACTAACAATGAATTTTCCATTATCTATATTTAAAAGAAAAAGCAAACTTTTAGTAATACAATAGTATTTTTTTTTGATTAGTATTCAAATTGTATTTGTACTTCTATGTGAAAATATAATTCAATTCGACAAAAGAATGGACAAATACCAAGTTATGCATTAATACTTGGAATTTATCCAAAAGAGAAAAACACAATTATAAAATTTTATCCAATATAAAAATAAACTGAAAAAAAAAAGAAGCTTTCCTTAATCATTTAGATTAAAACAGTGAAAATCTTGATCATATGAAATTTAATAATTTGAAAATCTTAAAACTTGACATTTATATAAATACTATTTTAACTACAAAACTCAGATACATTTATTATTTCAATGTTTAAATTGATAAGAAAATTCATAATAAATCATGACATACAACATTATTGCTTATTAACATTCAATTTGAATCGATTATATAGTGTATGGATTGAAAACTTAATTGTAGAATATCTTAGCGAGAATTTTTTGTATAGTCGAACAACAATTTATTTATCAAGAAAATATTCTATACTTAAATGTTTATGATTATTTCTCATATTGCGACATTTCAAATATCAATTAATACTTTTAAAGTATTTTTATTTGAATATAATAATAATAATAGATTGATTGAGATAATATTGATAAATGAATAATCAAACATATATAGTATTTATATGTAAAGTGTACTTGCACTTGAATATTATTCTATAGATAATCTAGAAAAAAAAACAATTATTCTCATTATTATTTGCCATTGATCGAGCATTAATTATATTTAAACAAATCACTCAAGAATTGAAATTCATGGGTACATTTTTAATTCAAAATAGAATTTATCTTTCATATTGATCAATTAATAGGTTGATATTTTCATTCTAATCAATCCATTATGCATAAAAACACCAAAGTCAGTATAAGAGAAAGATGGTATTGGCATGTACTCTAAAATTGTTCAAAAAAATCACAAGTTTGAATTAGTAGAAACGTGATAAAAAAGAGAAGATTGTATTTTTTTCGTTCTTTTTGTCAATCAAAATCTGAAACGAACCGATTTTTCCATGTGCACTTTAGTTCAACTGAAGTCTCAAAAAATCGATTAAAGTTCACTTCGATTGGAAGAATGAGAATTTTAATGATTTCAAATTCATACAATGAATATCTATATACAGTACACAACAATTGAAAGTATACCCGTAGAGTTTTTGTGTTTTCATTACCATAACTTGTTTGTTTTATTATATATAACATTTACATTTATTATTCGTTTCAGAAATCAAGAAGAGTTAGAATTTTTGAAATAACTTTCGATAGAAATAAGATAGATATCTATAGTTTTCACCATTCGATAGAAAAGATAAAACTACATTGGATCTCATATTTCAGATGTTCTTTATAACCCTTACCCAAGGAGGGACGTTTTAGCTAAGTCTTTTGAAGCAGTGACATTTTCCTGTATTCTTGGAGAAAAACCCCCATTTGCTTCTCTCTAGAAGCGTCAACATCTCAAAGCACTTGACTAAAGCTCCAAGTAAAAGTTATCAAGAGCATCTGAAATATGAGATCCAATGCAGCTTTGTCTCTTCTTTCGATTGATGAAAACTGCAGATCTGTATCTTGTTTCTATCAAAAATTATTCCAAAAATTCTTACTCTTCTTGATTTCTAAAACGAATAATAAATGTAAATATTTGGTGGAAAAACAAAAAATGTTACTGTTTTATACTTCAAACTATATATGTTGGTTAACATACACATACCATCAGATGCAGCGTCTTTCGAACTTTCTCTCTATATATAATAGGTTTAAAAACGAACAAGTAATGGTAATGGAAACAGAAGAACTCAAAGGGTTTAATTTCAATTTTTGTGGACTTTATAACACGAACAAAATCATCTAACAAAATCTTTCATCTTTTATACGATCATTGAATTTTCTGATTTTTTAATGACATTATTTTATATTCATTCCAATTTGTGAAATATTTTGGCAAAGTAATTTTAATGTATCTGATGTAGTAAAAATAAATTTTTGTTGAATGACAAATAATTTAACTTTTCGATCAATATCTAAGTGATTTGTTGTCTTTTCTAACATTTCAAAGAATAGAAAATTTGATGAATTTAATAGTAAGTTATTAGTTTCTCTAACGTAAGAACTAAGCACTTTTAGTTGAGAATAGGAAAAATTCCTTAATCTTACTCCTTGGACATCGCTCAATCATTTGTCAGGATGACCAATTTCATTAGATAAAAAGAATCGACCCTATCAATATATAGATATTATCATTGGTATGATTAGTTATTTTTAACCCCACGAAATATCAATATGGTCTGCATATATGTCAAGCCTGAAATTTAAATTCCGTTGTTGATTCTGTACCGTCTGAAATTCATATATTCTACTATTCAATTATTAGCATATACGAACATTTTGCATCTGTCTTGTTGTTTGTGTTTCGTAAGTACAGATTAACATGCGACATTTCTTTTCGCACATCTCAGTTGAATATATAAATATCTGAAAAAGTCATTAATCCCTGAATTCACCTTCCAGGTTTGACATTACTGATTATGTAGCACAAAATTATGTTCAGATGCGTCGATTTCGCATTTGGTATATAAATCAGTACCTTCTCTCTTTAACTATGAAATATCAAGTATGCCATCAAAATGTTTCTTGTTTAAATTATTTATTTGAGACAGTAAAGTTCTTAATATTGAAGAATATACTTTCTATATCATTCTCAACAAATTCATTGTTTTTTTGCAAGTATGACATTAAAATTATTCTATAAGGATAAATAATTCACAGAACTTCTATAACAGTTTCTAATAAATAAAAGAATTAGAGGTTTCGGAGTATTCTTTTTTAACAATTCTTTTTTCATAAATATAATATTTTACTAAGATAATAAAAGTACTAGCTTTTATTTTAATAAACAATTCATTGCTTAAAATATATAAACATTACTAAAATCTATTCATATTTGTTAGAGATATTTTATATGTATATATGTATGCTGAAAAAATATAATCGAAAACTCCAAAAAAATAGATCTATTTTGTATTTGTCTTCAAAGTATTATATTTTTCAATTAGTTTTTGTCCAATAAAAAGTTATAATCATTCATCAAGCTCTTAATTCCAACTGATTCTTATTGATTGAAATAGCACAAGTATATGAATTTTGTTGGAAATAAATAAAAAATTTTCATCACATTTTGTTTCATAAATTTTAATCAACATTTTGAAAAATAATTTGTCTTTGAATATTAATCATTTGTGGTAATCAACCAGTAAAAATAAACATCAGATAATGGAAATGGTTTCGAATCAGTTTGATATGCATTAATTAATAAAGAACATGTTTTAAATGACATTAAATAACCAAAACCAGATAAAAAAGTTGGATATCTTGGACATGAATATTCATCATGTGTAATAACATATCTTTGATAAATAAGATCAATGAAAAGAATTCTTCATATGATTCAGGAAAACTAATAGAAAAAGAAAAAGACTTTAAAAATATTAATTGAAGATAAAATATCACAACTACTAGTTCTGACATTCTAATATCAGTGATTTTTTTAGTATTTAGTTCATCTTTTATTCAATTGCTATTGCTTTTTAGTTGTATGATCGAGACAACTGAATAGACATAGTGTTTGATTCTATAGGGCTCTAAATTTTGATAATTAGAGAAAAAAATAATTTAATTTTTAGTTATTAAAACAAAAAAAAAGGAAAGAATTCTATGTATGTAATACATAAACACTGTATTTGATCAGCGCAAGTGAATATTTTCTTTCTTATAAATGATGAAATTCTATAGTTTCAAAAGTCACTTATATATTATGATGACTATTTACTCAACTTGACTCAAATCAATAATCGAACTTTTTGATTTGTTATTGTAAAATGATCATCCCAACTGAAAATTATTCGATTATCTGGCCATAAACAAAATCAAAATAATGGTTTTTCAGGATCACACAATCGATTAGTTTTATAAAAAAATTGAGTATTAACGATAATAACAAAGAAAATAAATATTAATAAAACAATTTTTATTGATGATAATAATCGAAAATATTGATATATATGTGAAAAATATAAACGACTAATAGGACATAGACGTATTTTTATTTTACGAAGTTGTATTTAATATTTTGATTTTTGAATGCAAATATTTGAATATCTTTCATATAAATTTGATTAAACTTATAGATGATCAAATAGATAATGACAAATAATATAAAGAAATACTTAGGACATATCAAAAGTAGTGACGTTATTATCTTATTTCTTTAATAGAAAGCTTGAAGAGATTTTCTTTTTTTCTATGTAACGATAGAGAAAACGACGTTCTAGTTTTCTGTGCTATTTGATCATTCTTCAACTAATATCATAATAATAAAATTTTGATAAGAATTGTTTTTGTGTACAAGTTCACTAATATGTGAGGCAAATTATGTAGCCATTCTTTGCATTTCAGTTTTCAATCACTTAATAGGTTGTATGAAAAAACAAAATATACCACTAGATGCAGCGTGAAAAGCTCTAGAATTTTTTAAAGAACGGCTTATTTTATATGTCAGATAAGAAACAAGGGTGTGGGGCGTGGGTGTGGGTGGATGTGGGTGTGAGTGTGGGTGTGTGGGTGTGGGTGGATGTGGGTGTGGGTGTGGGGTGTGGGGTGTTGGTGTGGATGTGGATGAGTGTGGGTGTGGGTTTGGGTGTGGGTCTGTGTGGGTATAAGTCTTCTCTCTACATTCACACCCACACCCAGACTCATCGAGGATATGAGTATGAGCGAATAGAAGATCCACATCCCGCTATGGAATACAATTGAATAATTCTAATCAGAATTAGTTGAATATGTGATAATTGAGTAAGAATTCGACCATTTGCATTCAATTCCACGATCCATGATTGATCACTTGGCATAAGAAGGGAGTCAATTATTGATCGATGTAATGGTTAAACAAAGTTTT